ATTACTACCAATCAAATCAAAGGAAAAGAAATGATCTCCTACTTGTGTTTCGTTTCAATTTACGTTATCCCATTCTAAGATTTTATTGATTTATTTTACTGTCAAAACTCATCTTATTTCTTTTCTTATTGCATTCACATTCAGAATGTACTTAATCATCCATCATGTATTTCAAGCTTGTCTATTGAACTTTGCATTGACTTTTATCTATCAATCATATGTTCAATCAATTTGTGACTTATGTGCATGAACGTAGTTGAAAGTTGTACGAGTGCCCTAATATGATTGTTAGCAATAAATTTTGCTGGAAACATCATTAATTAATAATACAGTATAATACTGTGTGACTATCGAATTAATTTACTCTGTGATGGAATTATACTCTACTAAAGTGCTACATATCATCGATGATATTCTTAATTAAGATGGACTGGATTATGCATCCGACTGCGCGTTGGAAATAAGAAGACAGGAAAACACTAAACCACCGATAAGAAGACTACAGAAGATCTAGATTTCGCTTGTGGATGATTTATTTTAAATATCACACAAGACCAAACAACTGGCAGAAGAGGCTGGCAGGCAGTGAAGATAGGACTACTGAGGAACATAGAGAAGATGGAGGTGATCAAGATAACCAACCACCAGCCACCGCAACAACAACAACCAGCACCAATCATCTTCAGTGAGAGACAGAGATAACAGAGGTTACCTCTTTCATTTATCCGGCTAGGAAGAACCTTTTCAGCCACAGGCAGGTGGAAGGCATGCAGATGTCAAAGCCAGCCAGCTAGTCAGAATCGGAAAGGCAAGATACGCCTTCATCAACCTCAAACAGGTTTGGAAATCCGCTGTCACTCACTCAGCCACCATAAAAAACATGATTCGGATTTTCGATACATATATGAAATCAGCTAGTCTCTTCCTCTATACGGGTCAAAAACTTGGACTACGAGTTACAAAAAGGATTTCCAACAGGCCTCTTGTAGACTTTTACCTCATTTCTGTAGGCAGACAGTTTTACTGACCCATCTTCCTCGGGGGGGGGGGTTATGAGTATATCAAAAAAAGTCCACATGGAAGGGACAGTATCTAAATTATCATAGTTTCTGTCCACTACAGTATAAAAAGGCGTTGGTTAAGTGTTTGTTCAAACGCATTCACCGTATATGTACTGCCAATACAATTGAAGAAGAAAGACAACACCTCACTGAAATATCCCTAGATAACAATTGCCCACTGAGATTTATTAGGCCTTACGGAAGTATCAACCATACAGCTCTACCAATCCAATCAGCTCCCAAAAAGGATGTTTGAACATCCTTGCCGTTCAGACGTTATCAATGAGGTCTGGTCACTAGACAAAGATTCAAAGCCGCAATTAATAGAACTTGTTATGCAGCTAAACTTATCTTCATGGAGAAAACAAGAACTATGCTGTCCTGTAAACCCTCACATTATCCAAACGATAGTGTCACATCCCACTGTGTTTATCAATTTACATGTATGTGTGGAGTCACGTACATAGGGAGGACCCATCGGTCTCTGCAGGTTAAGGCTACAGAACACATTCCAAAGTGGTTCCAAGAACAAATAAAATCGCCAGACATAAATGACCCCGAAAACAGATGTCCAACATCATCTATAGCGAATCACATAAAGTTGTTTTCAACAATGCCTTTAAGCCGATATATAAAACAAGGTTGGGTCACATACTTAAATTCATTGGAGCTTTAGCCATAAAAAGACTTTAACCTGTCTTATGTGTCCAAAAGTTATTTGTTATCACCTTAAACCTGCCTTGGTGATCCAGCTAGAACCAAGGACCAATTTACTTCATAATATTTCCAACCCCTTCTTTGCCTTGTTTTTTCTCTCTTTTCTCATTTTCTCTTTCTCACCCACACCTTTTGTGTCTCCCTACCCATTATTTGTGACCTTGACCTGTACACAATCTGACCTGTATTGTAATTATTCATACCTTATTGCCTTCTATAAAAACTGTGTATGACAAGTATGTGTGTGATCAGAATGTCTGAAATGTGTTGCGCCAATGCATTAAACGTTCACATAAACTACGTCTTCTTATTGTGTTGTCGAAATTACACATAATTGTATTATATTACCTTCTTCTAAGTCTGTTAACCTTCTCAACTGTTTAAACGGAATTACTATGAGTCTTTTTGCGTCTTGACCGCAAATTTGATATCTATCGGTGCTTTTTAGTTCAAAAAAGATGCAGGTGTCAGGCAGTTTTATCGTTTATTCATAATATTCTCTCTTACAGACTTCTGGAGATTCAATACCATCCTGAAGCGTACCAATACTGAAGCGTACTTTCATGCACAATGATGTCTTCTTAACAGGATTTTCACCATGAGCTGACATTGGTTAGAGAACCATTGGAAAACCTGCAGAGAGTACTGGACAGCTGTTTCGTCCTAGTTTGGGACCCTTCAGCAGTGCGCACCGACCGATAGGGTTCGAACCCAGGACCTTCTGGTTACAAGGTGAGCTAGCTCGTATACGTTTAAGCCACTGGGACCCGATCCAATGGCCCACGAATTCCAACTTCTACCAATTCACGACAGAGCGCGACCCCTAGCCAATGTCTTCGGTAAGTATTTGTCCTCACACTCGACCTGCTGCAGCCTACTGGTCACGACCTCTCACTAGAACCCCAGGTAACTACCTACCTGGATAGGGCAAGTCGCTAATGAGGATCTCATGTGGATGTATTTTTTAATCAAGCTCACTTATGAAATCAAACAAAGTCTATCTTCAGCTTACAATGTCAGTATTAATTTCAAAGTATTCTCACCATCTATAGCATTCTCTAACAGTGGACATCTTTCTTAATGATATTGTAGTAACAGTGGAGGTTTTTTAACAAATGTCTTCGACTCTGAGAACATTTAATTGACTTAGAAAGTTGTTCGTTTTGCAGCATCATTTATGGTAATCAAATGACAGATAAAGATTCAAATGAACTTCTCAGCTGAAATAACAAAGAAATAATTTCACATATTTATTCTCCTTTATGAAACTGAATAAGGCAAGAACAAAAGTTTTTTCAGATTAATATGGTACCATCAACAACGGTTACCTTCAGAGGTTTGTTGACAAATATAGAAGACGTGAAAGCTCAAACCTCAAGTGAATCATAATGGGAAAAAGGCCTGTCTTCAACCAACTCGACTTGGTTCCCGCCTATCAGAAAACATGCTCTTTCGTACAATCAAATAGAGGTCGATAGATACCCTTCTCATGTTAACACCAACTGCTTATACAAATTTACGTGCATCTGCGGAAGCAGTTACACTGGGAGGACAGGAAGAAGAGCACACCTCCGATTTTGTGAACATGTACTGAAAAGTCTACGTTACAGGGGTACAAACGCTTACAGTAGTGTCATTACCAGGCATCTCTCTGATACGGGTCATCATATGGAAATAGCTAAATCCTTTCAAATAATCAATAAAAAAACAGCTCAGTTCTCCTTAAGTTTGCATAAACGATCTCTATCGGACACCTGAAACCCAATTTCTGTGTTCAGAAAGAAGCAGTTGTCAGTCTTTCCTTGTTCTGCTGCCTGATAACTGGATCTCTTAATCTCTATTTCGTTTGATTACGTAATCCTTGACTTTAACCTCACCCCACCTTGATATTGTGTTATTTTAATTGTCTCTTGTTCCTGTGATTTGAGTTGAACTCAGTACACTGTTACCTAATCCATTAGTCACCCGTCATCTTTCTCGCTTCTCGTCTTTATTATGTAACTCCTTAACCACTGTATGCATACATTTACTTATTTCAAGCCTAAAGTCTCTGAGCACTGTTCGCTAATTACGGAACCTTGTGTCAACTGACATCATGTAAAATCTGCAAGTATGTTAAAGCCTTTCTGTAAATGAGCTTAATAGCAATTTATTTAGTCTGTAAGCAAACAGTTGATGAGAAGCCAACGAAATAAATGATAGTACTATATGATAATCCTGAGAAAACTATCGTTCTTGCTGCATTTACAGAATTAATTAATTTTCGCCATATATATGCTGAAACCTTAACCAAGCCTAGTTTACTATTCTGCTAGTTTTCTAGCCTGCCCTAAGCCTAGTAAAAAAAGAGAGGTTAGGCGCGCTTTTAGCGATGCGACCCTGAATAACCAGTCCAATCAAAGCATGACGGAAAACGTAAAAACCAAACTTATTCTTTGCTGAAATTTGAGAGATGCGACAATGCGGACCTTCAGGAAGCCAGCCAGCCAGCCATCCGATGTATCTTCTTTCGATGAAATTAAAAATAAAGAAGTGAGGGGAGGCGCGGAATCTTTGTACATTGTACGAAGCTGACTGGGAAGAGTGCCTAGGTTGTCAAAGAAATAACAGACGCCTTAAGCGGTACTGACTAATAATCTCACTTAGGAGTGACTTCAATAAGGATTCACTTGTCAAATCGAAATACATCCCTATTCATTCAATCGATGAAAACCTCATATTCTTATCTACCTAGAGAGAGAAACATACACTGGAGGGAGTAACTATCACCCCACCCATCAGATTAGTAATCACAATTAAGATAGTGTGATAATCTGAACTAAAGGTGTGGTGAGAGCAGGCTGCTAGCCAATTGGCAGACATTAGTTTACGTAAATGCCTATGTCGCTAATATTGGCCGTGAGAAGATATGAACAAGGCTGATTCAACAACCAATCACAACAGACAACGTGGGCAAATACGATTCGCAGATATATGGCTTTACTTTCTGAGAAACCAGTCACAGGCAGTACAGAATAACCTTGGCAAGAAACAACCAATCAGAAGACTTTGTTTGTCCGCTTGAATAAGCTATGATAATGTACATGAAATATATATAAATACTTGCTGATTTCCGTAATAAACGATCTGTTGCCTGATCCTTGTCTTCTGTTGTTACAAAGGAAGGGAAGTAAGACAAAACCTTTATTGAAACATACATACATATGTATGTATAAATATATTCTAATTATGCTGGAAAAATATTTTTTTAACCAACCATGAAGCACCTAGTACACAGATAACAGGTATTGCATAATTTGCAGTATACACTATAATACGTAAATAATTCAGGAAGCTTTTGATTTCTTGACGTTCAAATTTATGCGGATATGGTTGATCGGGGATAGGTAAATTAAGAAATTTGCATAATGGCTCCCAACCATCTTTATAATGATGAATTAATAGCTGATCCGCTGGAATATTGCGTTTCACCTTTTCTATATATAATTCGGCTAACTGTAAGCATGTTTCATCGTCTTCATGATGATCAAATTCTTTCCCGTAGGCGTAGTATAATGTATTTTCAATTAATTTTTGCATTCCTGTACCAACAAGTAATCTGATAATCAACTGGCCAATTATGCCTTCGGCGAATAATTCGTCTTTAGGCAGGGAGATTGTTTCACGTATACTTCTCAACCATTCGTGTTTATCTCTCCAAGTGAGAATGAACTAAATATGGGGATAAATAGAATAAAAAAAATTAAGAAATACGTAGGGTTACTGATAAAAAGTTTTGATAATTAAACAAATTATTTACTGGATGACACAGTTTCGAACAACATTTATTGTTAATAACAATTTCATCAATTATAATCACACGACTTTGGAACTTGAGTTTTATAGTTTTCTTTGTCTTCTCCTATTTGTCGTCGTTGAGGTAGTAGAATTTTCCAGATGTCCGCGTAGACAGGTGGTGAATCATTCCTATTACACGTGTTGGTTTGCGGTTGGTTCGATAAACAAAGCTTCTGTGACATTAGATTTGAAAACTGTCATCCTATCCCATCCAGCCTATTGTTTGGTTGTGTGTAATTGCATGTAGTGAGTGCTATAGATGAACTATTCTCTAGATTTCTTATCTTATTTGGGTCAAGCAATCTAGATTTTCCTGCTAGATTTTTTATGTTCGGCTAGTCTGACTGACTGCCCATGTTCTACTAGTTTGACCTATGTATTTAACCTGACAATCATCTCAGGCAGGGTATTAGATAAACTAAATTGTTCTGTTTTAAAGGTTCCACAGGATTGATCCTTTAACCGACAAAGCTTGTTTCTAATTGAGTTTGTGGGAGGTTTAAATGCCACTTTTATTTCTGCCTTGTTAAGAATTCTGCGTAAGGTTTCCGAGGTTCCTTCCTTATGTGGAATTACTACTGATGATTTGGATTCCTTATTATTGGTTTCGTCATTAATATCATTATTATTATTATCACTATCACTACTATCATTATTTATTTTACATATATCTTTACATATTTCCTGACTAATTTATCCGGGTAATTATTAAGTTTCAAGGCTTCGCTTATATGTGTATCACTTCCTGTCTTAGATTTTCCTTGGTACTACTTAGTTTTTGTGCTCTGTCACCTAAACATTTCACCAATCCTATTTTTACTGACTTAGGATGCGATGATCGGAATTCCAAATATCTGTTTGAATGTGTGGGTTTCCTGTAAACACTAGTCTTTAATTTCCCATCTTCTTTCCTTTTTACGTTGCAATCTAAGATTGGAAGCTCCCTCGCTTCCTGACTTTTAAATTCATAAGTGAATTGAATTGCCTCCACCTTTGAGTTAATGTGTTCGAAAAATCTATGTATATCTTGTGTTCTGAGTACAGTGAGTGTGTCGTCTACATAGCTCCACCATACTTTTGAGGTGGGGGTGAACGTTTCAATCTCTATGTTTTCCCACCTATCCATGAATATATCTGCTACAACAGGGGATAAGCTTTGTAGGTTAAAGGATCAACCCTGTGGAACCTTTAAAACAGAACAATTTAGTTTATCTAATACCCTGCCTGAGATGATTGTCAGGTTAAATACATAGGTCAAACTAGTAGAACATGGGCAGTCAGTCAGACTAGCCGAACATAAAAAATCTAGCAGGAAAATCTAGATTGCTTGACCCAAATAAGATAAGAAATCTAGAGAATAGTTCATCTATAGCACTCACTACATGCAATTACACACAACCAAACAATAGGCTGGATGGGATAGGATGACAGTTTTCAAATCTAATGCAGCTAACAGGGTGGAGTGAGAGATTGATAACAGAAGCTTTGTTTATTGAATCAACTGCAAATACATGTAATAGGAATGATTCAACACTTGTCCACCTAGATATCTGGAAAATTCTACTACCCTACGATGACAAATAGGAGAGAACAAAGAAAACTATAAAACTGAAGTTTCGAAGTCGTGTGATTATAATTGGTGAGATGATTATGGACAACAGTAGATTGTGTTCGAAACTGTGTCATCCAGTAAATGCTAATACTGTTTCACTGTGTGATAATTTTGTAATGAACAAACTAATATGGAATTACTTACTGCCACAGTGCCCAAGTTTCACACATATATTAATATTTTTTACTAAACTGTGTTTATACATTGTGGACGTCACTGGTCATGATTTCTCACCAAAACTCCATATGATTTCACCCTGTAGCCAGTCTCACTAACAGAGTATAAAACTTTGACCTCAGATTGATATTCGTTAGAGTAATTAGGACGTCGTGGTCAGTGGAGATAACTCGACTGGGAGTAGGGACATATACTCACGATAACACTGGCTGATAGCATTCGTGCTAGTATATATGACGAATCGCCAGAAATTGTAATTCATTGGCTGGCCATTGAGGAGTCGTGTCCCAGTTGGAAAGAGTTAGTGGCGGTCAAACTAAAACATGGCTTCATCAGTCAATGAAATCGAGAACAGTTGGTTTAAGTCAGCCACGTAGGGAGATGTAAACTTCCTCACTGGTTGGGGTCCTCGGGACGTTAAACACCAATGAAGGCTGGAGACTATTTTTGATATGGCTCAAAATTATTCCTAATGGTTGCGCAGATGCATCCACTTCTTGTGTGACTTATAATACCCAATAAATCTATAATGTTCTTCAATATGACTATTCTTTTTGCTTTATATCTCTGTTTACTGTCTCTATTATGCGTTTCTTTTTACCTCCTTTCTTGCTTTGTGTGTTACATGGAGTGTGGCGACTCGAACTGATGTGACCCCCTTTAACTATTTTTTCCAACCTAATGTGGTGTCAGCTAACACAGCTCGATGAGGAAGGCAGTGGCTCAGCGCATGTGCGCAACACTTGTGTCTAGACGTCTGACAATCGACGTAGCTCCAAAACTTAATCCATTGGTTCCCTCGCTTCACTTAGCACTCTACGCCTAACCTCAATACTATCGATTATATTAAATATCACTTAACACAGAAGATAGACCTCAGACACGCTAAAGTAAGCATAAAACAGTTTGAGTGGTGACATGTAAACTATGAAAAATTTTAAAAAACACCACATTTTCTTCAATTAGAGAACCACTGGAAAACCTGCAGAGAGTACAGGACAGCTGTTTCGTCAGCCTAGTTTGGGACTCTGCTTCAGCAGTATGCACCCCGCGAGATTCGAGCCCGGGACCTTCTGGTGACAAGGCGAGCTTGTGGACCAGTACTCCTAGGTTTTCCAATGGTTCTCTAACTGATGCCAGCCCATGATGAAATTTTCCAACTAATCAAACAGAATCCCCACAAAAACCAACACGGGAAAAACATTTCTTCAAATTTATCAGTCATCTAAGAAACATTAAATAAGGATAAAAACTAGTGGAAAATTTAATCACGCATAAAAACTATGATGATTTCACATCATTAAGGACAAGATCTGGTAAGATTCGAAATAATGCTAGGCGAACAATCGCAGTTATGTAGTCCATTGAGCAGTCCATTTTAGTAAACACAAATCTTTTATCTGTAACTAGAGTACTGAATACATTTGTTTGCTTGTTGGTGTGCTGAGTGAAGTGTGGCGACTCGAACTGCTGCACACTGGTGTAAAGTTCTATGTTGAAACCAGTCAGTCAGTTAGTCACTCAATCGGGTCCCAGTGACTGAATTGTCTATGAGCTCGCTTTTTACCAGGAAGGTTCTAGGTCCCAATTTCTGTGTGTACATACTACTGAGTGGTCCAAAACCTGGAAGAGACAGATCTTTAGTGCTTCCTGGTTTCCACTGATCTCTAACTGATATCAGTCCGTCGTCTGACTTGAACAATAATGTTAGCAGTGAACTCACTGCACCATAAACTACCTTGTTGACTAATAGAGAAGATAGAATTCGTCATCTGTGGTAAACTGACTCTGTATAAACTGTAAGATACTTTTCAGTTTATCAAGAAATTGAGTGGTCTGAACATTTCCGACCTATTCTGTCTACTTAACAGCATCTCCCTTGAAGAAACAATTGATATTATTTAAAAAATGATCTGAGATACTTCTCTTACCAAGTGAAGTTATGAGAAAAGTGGTAATGTTAAGCACAAGAGATGTATAGTTTTGTTTTAATAAGGAAATTTATAGATAGATTGATGGAGTCGTTTGTGACGAAAATCATCAAGGGAATATTGTTGTAGATGACTTGTTAGTTGGAAACTTCAATTACACACTATGTTGTAGGACTTTGAATGCTGTAAGCAGAGTTATTGTTGTGCCTGTGACTTAGCTAACTGGCATTGTAATTGAGAGACATTTAAATTAATCCAATGCAATCGTTATCATTATTTATTAGAATAAGGTATTTAGAAGATAAATTTCGCGAGATGATGGCATCATTTCGTAGTTTCTTTACAACCGCTTTACAACTAACATGGTTAACAGTAATAAAATAAAGATCATGACAATTACTCAGCTAAATAAAAAACAAAACAAAAGTACATACTAATGACCAGTCATATTTAGATAGGTCATGTAGTCCATGGTAGGTGGAGATTGAAGTCTATTGATTTTTGTACACACAGTTTAGGCTGTATGTGATTAATCCAAAGTGCTTCCATAACCTTCAATAACCAGCCTTGGATTAGAGTTATGTGAAATAATTGTGAAACAGTCATTAATATTGATTTTGTGACCAGACATTAATAAGTGTTTTGCAATGGATGATGCTGGATTTCTATTAAGATCAATCAAGTTGGATTTTCGATATGATTTAGTAGCCATTTTGGAACATGTTCTTTTCGACGACATTGGAATATTGTGTTGGTTCTATCTATATAGGTGTCACCGCAGCTGCAGGTGAACTTGCAGATACAGTTTGAAGTAGAGTCCAGAGAATTTCGTCCTTTAATCGTAGGTAAAGGGATCGGAAATGTTCGGCAAGTGAGAAAAAGAGATTCGGCGTAGAATGTGCGTTTCATAGCTGACCGAAGACTTTGAGCTGTCAACTGCACAATCTGGTCGCCCATGAATGGTAGATTAATGAAGGTAGCTTTCTTTGGTACAGAAGCTGTCTTTTCGAGATGTGGTTTTTCTTTGCTGTGACAAGTGATAAAGCTCTCCGGATAACCATTAGCTAATAAAACTGAATGTATATGTCGAAACTGATCCATCAAAGTGTCACTCGTGCATATTTTTTTCGGGCCCTTGAGAACAAACCTTTCAC